TGATCAAGGACTGTGACCCCTTTTCTGGCCAAAATATCGGGCACGATCTTCAATTTGTGGGGTGGTCTTTGTCGTGGAGGAGCGACCAGGAACACTGCTCTCGATCTTCAGGTCGAATTCGAAGAATTCTCGTCCACAAACGATTGAGGACTCCGAGATAATAATCAGAATTCACTGTCTGACCTTCTGGCAGAAATTCCTTGTGAACAATTCCTTTGGAATCGAAGAAAACGGTTAGCAGTGTCTTTACTGGACTCTTTTGCATGCACACTTTCTTTGGTTTCGGCTTCTTTGGGCTCAACCACGCTGCACACTGACGCTTTGTGAGAGGCTCATATTGAAAACACCATGTCTCGTCACCAGTAACAATTGATTTTGTATTTGTATCACTTTGGGCCGGCCGTAACATATCTTTGCAGTGTTCCACTCTGGCATGTTTTACATCGCCTGACAGAGCGTGCGGTACAAACCGCGCACAGACCTTCCGTTTGCCCAAATCCTCGGTCAAAATTTGATACACAGTACTTTTTGGTATTCCCAGAAGCTCCTCGATGAGTCTTGCAAAAACACATCTGTCTGATGCAAGGATTTCGGTCACTTTTTCACATTATCTTCAGTGCGACCTGTTCTCGGCTTTGAAGCACGTGGAGTGTCTTCAATGTCCTCCCTGCCGTCATGAAATATAGCATACCATCGAAAAATGTTCGAGCGACTCGAACAATCACTACCGTCACACTTTTCATCATTTGGTACGCTTCTCCGGCTGTTTTGAACAACTTCAAACAAAATTTGACGTTGGCTCTCTGTTCAACCGCCATTTTCCGACGAACGTTAGAACAGTACTGTTAAATTCAAGGACAGAACACATGATGCAGCGATGGTTGCGTTTTGAAATTATAGACAGCCACAGCTGAAACTTCAAGAACCTTAACGCCACAATTCGCCAACAGATGGCATTGCAGGGCAAAATTAAAAAAGAAAAAAGTCCTAACGGATCCTGGACACACCGTGTATGTTATGGCAGACGGTCAGTCGGATAGTCTGTCTTGGAATAAAGCACCCATCTGGGGCTTACGACCAGATTTTTATTACTGTCAGACAGTTGCGGTTTGTTGATGTGGGCGCTCTCTCTGACGAGAGGATGGGTCTGTCGTTTATAATTGCTGCTTACCCTCGTCAGCGCAGTCATTTTCGAGTGGGAATTTTGTGAGACTCGCAACCATATTTTACCGTCTCAGCTTCGAGACTTCCCTTTTCGTTACCTCCGAATCGCAGGGCTACGATGGAGGTTTTCGACCCCGTCTCCACACGAGATTACACATTCGATATACGTATATATATATACGTATATCGAATGTGTCGGCAGCCCAGAAGAGTAAGTTCTATGGAAACGCTACAACAGACCGTTGCATAGGAAGTAACAATAGCGGCACTGTAACCCCAACAGTGAGCCGTTGTACCGAGAATATCGAATCTCCACGGTTACGACCAATACGCGAAGTGTTCATACGGAGACAACGCAATAACAATGGGTTATTGCATAGGAAACGCGGAGCCAACAAAGCGACGTTTCCACGGCTATAACAGAAGATTCATTTGCCTAGCAGCGGCCAAGGTTATAAAAGCCCAGTTTCGACGAGAAGTCTTCAGTCTTCATCGAGCCGTCTAAGAAGCCTGTCGTCATCAAGCCTTCGGAGAAGCTAGCCTTTATCCAGCCTTCGAAGTAGAGTGTCGCAGAGGATAGTCGAGGTGTCACAGTGAACAGTAATTGTACTTGTGATTGTGTAAGCAGAAGAACAATAAAGGTTCTACTTAATTTGAGGCCTACGTGAATCTATCTGTAGCGTGACACACAAAACACGCTACAATATATATATATATAAAATCATTGCCAGGAACGGTTCGGTAAGCATGTTCCCGTTATAATGAACAGAAGCGGAATAATCCATTGCTGGGCAACGGTTAGGAAAGCACGCTCCCGCTGCAACGGTTGAATACTGAAAAACAGAATAACAGACGAAGACTTGTACTCGATTCACCCCAAAGTTATACAGGAGCAGTGCAGCTGATTCAAGAGAGAGCCGTCACTCGGCGCTCACGGATTCATTCGTAAGCAAGCTCAGAGTTCAGTGGTGGGATATGTGCCAGACGGTAAAGACGTAACGAACAGTGTTACAAATCCGTTGCCAGGATACATATAGTGAAAACAGAAGTCTTTATGTGTACTGCAGTTACACTAATCTTTTAGAGTGTGTAAACCAGTGAGGCTGTTATATTTATTTGTAGTTACTACCTATGAGTGGTCAATAAATTCAGTCATCCAACCTACAACCCATTATTATCACTTACGCAAAATACAGAACCCGTTATATTCGTGACACAAGTCCCTAATTCGTGACAATACATAAATACATACACGTACATACACACACAAGACTTGCATTCCGCAAGGTTAAGTACACAAGATATGGCATTCTCTAGCAGCCCATCATAATGCCTGAACTAAGATAGTAACATGGCTACCGAGATACCGTTCTTGAAGTTTTGGGGCAGCAGAAAACTTAAATTCTCTTTCTGCACAAGCAAGTGACGCCGTATGCATGGCCGAATGGAGTTTGCAGCATACCACACAAGAAATACAAATCACCACATGGTGTCACATGTGTAACTATAGACGGGATTTGAATTAGTAATTGGATTTATTCAACACTTACAGATAGTAACTACAATTAATTATAGAGCTATCTCTTAATTAACTCACTCTACAAATCACTAGAGCAGCAATTTGCTGCTACAGCTATCTCTATTCGCACGCAACTCAATTACCCTGAAGACGGAGACGATATGTTCTCCGAAACGTCGGTTAAAACGAAGAATACACGGCGCCAGATCCCAGAAGACGACTTTCTTCATAGTCATCGCCGTGAAAACCTCAAAACTTACATTCCTCACCCTTGCTCACCAACTTGAGAAAACCTTGTGAGGGTCAGTTACAACCTCAGTTACAAGCTGGAGATATTTTTGCGAATATTGTTCCTCGCAGTGTATTTATTCCTAGATTACCCTTGTTTGTAGAAGGAAAAGTGTATTCAAACTGAATATTCGGATTTTCCAAATGTGTTCTTTTCTATTTGTACACCTTACCGGCCTTGGTATTGCGATAAAACCTATTGTTACAAAGCTGAAAGCGATAAAGATATCGGACTGTATATTCATAAATCACTCTGCCCCCTCCCCCCGCCAAAGAAATCCATTATTTTCATAAACATTCACCATATAGAAACAAATACATAAAATCGAAACTACGCAACTAGTGAGATATGTATTTTACATCATGTATCACGAATAAAGTGGATTAAGCGGTAAAGCTTCTGACTTGTATTCGGGAGGTTCCCTGTTCGTAACTCAGTCGAGACAATGAATGTCCATGACTGAGTTTTCGGGGCGTTCCCTCGGTTCATACACGTAAAATGCCGGATAGTGCCTCAAATTACGTCGTGAAAGCTCCCTTCTACATCCATTCGAATTCCTTATTCACCCATTCACTCATGAACTCACAGTTCAACATACTTTGGCATGTAGACCCGTTGTTAAGACAACGCCAGCGAAAGCAACAGCCGTTGCTAAGTAACGACTTCGCAAAGGAGCATGTTTCCATGACAATTGCGCTGCAATAACGTTACGGTTTGTTCTGTGCGATCCGTACCGACATGTTAGGACAGCCAGTGACAGTAAGCTGAGTGAATTGGTTGGTGAGTGAGTCAGAGAACTGCTAGGGTTCCGTCGTTGTGAGCTACTGCTGTAAGAAGCTGGTAGCTGAGGCCGGAGACAGTTAGGGAACCCAGAGACAAGGGAACGAACGCCTTTGGAAGCCGCTACCAAGCAAAGCCACTGAAGACGTGACTTTGGACACTGGTGTGTGTGTGTAATAGTGAACTCTGAAACTGAGTCACGCGATGTATCAAAAAGTGCGATAAATCCGATCATTCATCGAAAACCCGTCTATAGCGACTTAAACACATGGCGATTTTTACAGCGATTTTATGGAATAATAAATAGTCCTATATCATACATCGGTAAGGGATGTTTTCAGAAAACAACTGCTTGGGCTGAGTGTCATGTAAACTGTTCAGATATGACACAAAAACTATTTCGCCAAAAAATTATAGAGTTCATCCTCCTCCCACATAATAAAAGACTAATTAAAATGTGTTCAGTGTTTTTGCATGTGAAACAAGCGAATGCATGGATGACTTTCCCATTGTGCGTTCATTTTATGAACTTAGTGCAAAGAAAACACGAGAACCAAGGGTATAGCAAGTCTCACGTAACTTCGAACAAGGCCAAGAGTAACCTTGAATGCGCAGAAGAAAAATTTCAGACAAGGGGGTGGGTTGGAGGGTGTGAGAAGTGACAGGCCGCCTGTCACTTCGGTCCAAATATTCTCCGCGATACCCTGTTCTCAAACACCCTCAGTCTATGTTCCTCCCTTAATGTCAGAGACCAAGTTTCACACCCATATAGAACCACAGGCAAAATTATAGTTTTGTATATTGTAATTTTTATGTTTTTTGACAGCAGACGAGAAGGCAAACGGTTCTGGACTGAATGGTAGCAAGCATTACCCAGTTCAATCTCCTCTTACTTTCCTCCTGAATCAGGTTTTGATTTGTCATCATCGTTCTCAAATATCTTAACTGTGCCACATTTTCAAAATATCTGTTAGCTGTCTTTGTGTCATAATTTTGCTCTCCATTTTGGTGACCAGACTGCGTTTACTTCTAGACCAACCTTCTTACTAGGGTCAATTAAGTGTTTTTCGGCGTAACAAACATGGAACAATTCCGTTTAACACAAATAACACTGATATCAGGAAAATGATAAGTATGTATTGCCCATTAAGATAACGCACAGCACCGTGCGCAGGGCAGGTGACGTCACGGATCGGGCAGACGAGAGCGTGTCGGCGAGGGTCCTTCTCGCAGTGTCTTGCCTCCTGCACGAGGCGAACAGTAACCCGTGGGTGCGTTGCACGAGGGGGTGACGGGACCGCGAGCGTAAGGTCGTTACTTCGTCCAAATAACCACTTCATTTCACGACCAAGATAGGAGAAGGAATTATTATATATGTTTTTGTCACATTAAGGAAGTCTTTATTACAATTCGCGTTCCTGTATTGAATTCATGTGAAAATTAGCGTTAGCAGTCAACAGATAAAACGCAGGTATTTGTTAGTCTTATTTAAGGCACAGATTATTTTAAACGATACGTATTTATTGAGTCGTGACTTGGAGGTAGTTCCTCCATATCTGTTTGATGCGTGTACTGAAGTTTAAATTTTAATGAACATAATGAATTTTAAATATAATTACACAGTATAATAAGGTGTTAATTTTCTCGTCATGGGTGGTCTACTTCCGAGATGGACGGCTGAATCCAATTAGTGGATCGGGGAAATGTGCAATTAGTACAAGATGAGAATAAGACGCGATGAGACAACACAGCCGTTGCGAAGACACGCGAAAATCGCTTCTATCCACCTTCCACAAGATAAAAAAAAAAAGATTTTCATTAGAGATCCTTGGTGAAAGAGATATTAATTTTAAATAAACTGATAACATAGAATTTTCTTCCGTTTTACATGTCAGAAGATGTAAATTGATTAGGGAGTTAGTTAAAACAAAAAATCAGATAGATTAACTGTTAGCGTTTCCTTATCTTCGTCTCGATAATATATGAAATGACATTATTTAACCAAACTGGAGTAATCTGGTGGCATTGGTGGGTGATAAGAAGGACAAAACGTAGAACTGTTTTACAATCACGGAATAAGATGTTCAGTGTGAAACTTGAAGCAGACAACGTCTAGAGGAGCAAAATTCGCCGCGTATAAAGTAAAGAAATGCATCCCTGGTTGTTTACCAGAGGCTCCATCGGAAAGAGTGGTTTATTTTTGGCGGTGAAGAGTTCTCGGTACTGACGGAACAGACAACACTGGGGTTAGGGCTTTTCTAAATCGCCGTAAAATAACCGAGATAACCCGCCGGAAACTGCAAATAAAAATGTTACTAAAATTTGCTTTCGTGCAAAGTTTCCTTAAATAACGCCTATACTGCTTCAAAGTGATGGAGGTGGGAGAGACGGCCAACCCCGGCTGTCTGACAAGATTCGTATGTCAGCTGATAGCCCCCAGCCTCAATACCAGTGTCCACGTCCCATCATGCGGCAACGCTCACGTAAACAGCGCCAAGGCCACGTTGCTGGACTGCGAGCAGTGGAACTCTGTTGCTCAAGACGCTGCAGACTACGAGTACTTCTTGTGCGGCGGGCAGCACAACAACTCCTTCACACACTGCAGCCACTGTGCAGACAACGGCACCATCATGCTCAACATGACGCTACGCCTCTTGATGCTGGGTGACGAGGGAAATGTCATTTGGGCCAGAATCCCCAGCGTAATCAAATCCGTTTCGTGTAGTGTAGGTGGCTTTATAGACATGTTCATGGACTGTACTAGTCCAGAAAATGTGAATGTGACGAGTGAAGATATCATTTCAACAGTGGGCATCGGTAACGCGTCAGAAGAGGAATTCTCTATGTTGCAAGAGAGCGAGTGGAATCGATCGTCGGCATTGCGGGATGTCATAGGAGAATACGTGAAGTGCTCACTGGAAAGTGTTTTCCTGAACGTGGAGTCAACGACGGGAGGTGCGTCTGTATCTTCGGGATTGGGAGACGAATTGAATTGGGAAAATCATCATCACGACTGGAGTTTCCTGTTTGTGTTAGTTTTCATAGTGGCCGGGGGTGTGGGCAACATCCTCGTGTGTCTAGCTGTCTGTCTGGATCGACGTCTACAGAACGTCACCAATTACTTCCTGCTCTCCCTCGCCATAGCGGACCTCCTAGTTAGCCTCTTCGTCATGCCTCTAGGTGCCATACCAGGCTTTCTAGGTAAGTTGTTACCAAAGTAGTTTATGACATTTTATAATTCGAGAAAAGCTTAGATGTGTGTTCCTTCCGGACAACCAGAACTAAGAACCCAGCACTGCTTTCACCCAAACACATGACTGAGATTGGCTGCAGATATACAAAATTTAACGTCGCTTCAAAAAGATAAATATTCTGAATCACATTACAACTTCGAGCCCAACACCGCCACAATTACGTTCATGAAGCTAAGGGAAGTTGCATCAACTTCTGACTTCAGGTAGCTGGTTGTTCGTTCATTACTGAAAGTTTCCTCTATTCTACTTTCCTGTACAGTCACCGGCATCATACTGTCACCTCTAAAATATAATATGCCACAGATATCACCGTCGCATGGTCTAGAAGTTAATATATTAATTTGTATTAGACGGATTTAACATTTGAAACCGAACGCTACAGAAAGAAAACAGACCATCAAAATGACAGTTATTTCGCGGGAAGAAGAAGTAATCGAGACAAACAAACATAAACATATTGTGATGAATCAAGACCTGTCAATGGATTGCCGAAGAATTATCTTGGTATGACAAGAAAAGCCGTATCAAAGTACAGAGTTCTTTGTTTCGTATTTCGCCGGTTTTGTAACCTTCGCCCGCTTAAATCTTATTCAACGCGCGAGTGGATGTAAACCAACCTAAAAAATATATCAAATTCCGATATCTTAGAAAACTAAAGCAGAAACAGGCTCGAAGTAAATAAATAAACATACAAATTCATGCATAACACGACTGAAGTCTGTACCAAACACAGGGGTCTACATTCGCACGTTCAAATATCTTACAGCGCGCGGAGGCATAGTTATAATTGGTGATGGAAAGAGCTGACAGGAAGGACACTGAAATAGATCATCGGGAGTTTCCTTTCTTTATGTGTCTCATACATCAGCAGGCACAAAAACTATGCAGAGCGCAGAATTAACATGAAATTAATATAAAATCTACATAAACTTCAACGGAATCAAGGTCTGGACTTTGGGATCGGTTCCATTCCGTTCCCCTATAAGATGTGTTCACTAATTTCGGGAATCCAATGGATCCTGTTCCTCCACGTGTATAGTCCATTAACTTTTGAAATACTGTCAGGTTCCATTCTCTCAACATGATGAATCCAATTAAGTCTATTAATCTAAATTCTGTAATTTAAATTGAATATGTTTAGTTCGACGAAATCTGTGAAACAAATTCAGAGGAAACAACAGACATCAATTAAACGCTGTAACATCCAATAAACATCCCCTGATGAATACCACAAAGAATAAAGAAGTGAGTTGGGCCGAAGTTCAATGTAACCCGTTCATACAAGCGAGCAAATTACTTTTCACTGCAATTAAGTTGTCTACTGATGACAAGTCAAAAACACTAACCCCCTCTATTGCATTTTATTACAAACACTTTAACAAGCTCTCGAATCCAATATCTAATTCCGATTTCTTTTGCAAGCCCTATACGTGCAAGTTCAGAGGGCCATCAGACACAAAGCAGTGGATTGGACGCTGCCGAGGAGAGGGGGTTAATAACGGCAGCGGTAGCTACATCACAGTTGAAGCTTCAAGGCGCACGAAACCTATTTAATCAATTACACATTAGAAGCAACCGACTGAAAAACAGAACACAGACTTGGAAGGAATATTAACAGTGAGCTACTCAACAGTTTTCTCAAAAACAATGTTACCTGTGTTACATTTTAGGGGTTCTGAAATAGCACAAGAAAAGTTAGCAAGCTATTCGTTGGATGCCTTAGGTAGACTGAAGTTATGGGTGCTGTAAGGGTGAAGTGCAGCCACCTACATCAGATGCTAAGGACTTATGTTCCCCTGACTACTGAAGCGGGAATCGACGGCTCTGTGCGCCCATAATCAGCGTTCCAGTTCAAAGTCCAATACAATAATCCCATCTCTCTACCCAGCTGGTTAAGTGACCAATCGAACATTCAAATGCTAATAGCGAATTCTGTCATTCTGTACTTCAGTAGAGATCGTTTATTCTGAGGGGCATAAAAAGGTAAAGTTGTCCCTGTGCTTAACTAATTAAGCGCTACGCCATTAAGGCGTATGGGGGAGTGGATGTATAGATCCACATTTTCTTGACCTCAGCACTAGTTGAAAGTGAGTGGTCAGCTTCACGCCCCGGCCGCTTTACCCTCATGGCAAGAGCCCCTGGTACCCATTGAATAGGGGGCTGCGTGGGCCCCAGAACCGGTCTGGACGACGTGGAGAGGAGAAAACTCTTGTCCCTACCGGGACTCGAACTCCGAACCCTCGGCCGTCTATCCCGTAGCCGGTCGCTATACCGACTGCGCTATCCCGGCTTAATTTGAGGGAAATGCATGGGCCTAACATTGATGAAGTTACAATGAAATCAGAGGTTAGGGACAGAACACTGTTAGATCAGACATTACGCATGCGCCGTCTCTCTGACCTTCATTACTGACGGGAACTTAAGAAGAAAAATCTGTTACATTGAAGTTCTGATTATAAAAACGGGGGCAAAAAATGTACTTACTAACATAAACTGCCATTATGGTGTCTTGTTTCGTAAACTACCTGTTAGTTACAAGGAACACCTGTTCAAATGTTTTTACTTCTCTATCCAGAAGGCAGGTCTGTAAAACACCGCACATCTCTCAGAAACCCTATCCGTCCCGACAATAAGATTATGTTTACTTGGAATTAGAAGCGACGGCAAAGTAACGCATCACTGTGAAATACTTGCATTTTCGACTTTTTCCATCGTCCGGTATTCTAGAGCGTAGAAAACATGACGTGAAGGGGGGGGGGAGACACCTGTTCAGTTGGGTCCGTTAGAGAGAGCTAACCTCGATCACGTGATTGAATAAGTAGGCGTTTCCCCCATCACCTGTGGACGGAAACAAATCCAGTTTCCGAAACGTCGTATTTTCTAGTCTCTAGAATACCCCGTAATTCTGAGTGCTGTTCACCTTCGTCAGAACCCCTTAGAATCTACCCGTATCGCTGTGCCTATATTAGTCACGAGGACTGAGTCAGCCCGGACTTCGAATTCGAGACATTTCTGTGTAGTGAGCCACTGCTATTAAAATTAATACGAACCCATCTTCAGAGTACTCGTATATTGAACATAGCAAATAGGCTACTGAAGAGTACTTACTATCTTCTGGATATAACGTCGTGTAGTACACCGAAATTCAACCGACGTTTCGAAGGAACGTATCACCGCCAACTTCAGGATCGAATAAGTTGAGCTGATAGCTATCTGTTTGCCACCTGTTTTCACGCTGGTATCTTGAATTTCGACACTGAAGATGTGGGTGATATACCTACCTACCTAGCACTCGGCGCTACAGCCCTGGGTGAGCCTTGGCCTCCTCTACAACCAGTCTCCACTGCTCCCTGTTCCTCAATGTGGACGACATTGCATTATGTCCCAGAAGATAGTATTCTTCATAACTACCGTTTTGAGAACCTCATATTCTACTCAGAGTAGAGTTTGGGTTACTTATTTAACGACGTCGTATCATCTGCAGAGAGTGCATAGTATCGAACGAGATACATACAGGTTGATACGAATTTGGAAGGAGCAGTTCCTGGTAAGCTTCAAGATATCCTAGCATTCGCCTAGAGAGACTAATGATAGCTACTGTTTATTATCATCATCATCGGCAAGACAGCCCTTTCTGAGCCACAGCCTTCCTTAGAAGATTCTGCCAAATTTGTCATTTCCGAGAATTAGACCATCTGGTTTTCACTTCTTTGGATTTCGCAACAGTAATTTCTTACATAGCAAAGTTGTCCACCTTGTGTCCAACCCCCAACATGGAGGACCAGTTTCTTGATTTATCTACCCCAGTGACAGGGTGGCCAAGTTATATGCTTAGGCACCGGGTTCCCCTTTTCGTCGCGTTCTGCGATTCGCAGGGCTATGGTGGAGGTATTATAACCTGCCTCCGTATGGGATATGGCTACTGTTAAACTAACTAACTTCATGGAGCTGAGCCCTTCTTGAGAAGCCGCCAGTTGTTCAACAACTCAAGAACTTCCCAGCATTTTATGGAACCCGAAGGTTCATTGCCGTAAACTTTACAGACGGCATCCTGTTGTGTATATAATATTTAATTGCTTATATTATGACCGTCGATTCAAGTAATGTGGGAATATCTTCAATAAAGACAAAAGGTGTTGGTATATATATTTATGAAGTTTACACTTTTGTCCATGTAAACATCAACAGGGGGCAACATTCAAACCTACATTTCTAAGACAGCTAAGCTCCCACGATACTCTAGGACAGCGTTGGCCAACCTAATACATCTCGAGGGCCAAATTTAGTTTACAGAACACCATCAGGGGCCAGATACAGTGTTTCTTTCAGAAGAGTGGTCGAGGAGTATTGCCCCCCAAACTGAATCAGTCACAACCCGTGTAAAAACAAGTGCATTTAAACCTATGTATTTAAATTTTACGTTGCACCCATAACATTAAGCCGATATTGAAAATTTCACCAATCGATTTTATTGCCTTCTATCACTTCTACCCCCAGAGCATTTTTTTTCTTAAAGAAACACTGGCCAGATCATGCCTTATGTTTAGTTTTATATATGCCGGGGAAAAATGCAATTCTAATTTAAGAAAGAAAAATAAAATGCCTTGAAATTTGCAATTACTTACCATAAAACAGCACAAA